GAAAGAATTCTTGGAAACGACGTAGATATAGAGAAAAGTCAAGATAAAACTTTTCGAAACTCGATAAATAAAACTTTTGAAAAATATATCACTGATAAGAAAATTTGGGCAGCAGAAGAAGGTTTATACTTTTTCATTGATAAAATTTTGTATTTATATTATTTATATGCAAAAGAGATTTATTTTTCCCACAAATTATGTAGCACCACCTCAAGGAAAGATTCCATTCAAAGTTTATCTTTTCTACTTTAAGTCTAGTGGGGGCCTGTTAATTTGGTTTATACTAGTTTTTTTGTTCATAATCATTCGAGTTTTAACTGTGGGCGAGACTTATTGGTTAAATATATGGTCAGAAGCTCCTCCTCGTAATAAAAATAAAACATCATCCGAACTATTAGAAAATACTACCTCAGTAGACCCTTCTTTATTTTATATAGGCATATACGCTATTGTTGCCTTAAGTTCTGCCATTTTTACATTTGTTCGCATGATTTGGCAACTTTTTGTTTCTCTTAAAGGTTCAAAGGCCTTGTTTTCAGAATTGCTTAATGTTATTTTAAGAGCACCCTTAAGTTTTTTTGATGTTGCGCCTCTTGGAAAAATTATGAATAGATTTTCTAAAGATCTGGGCGTAATAGATCAGAGTCTTATGACGGTTTTCTCGAGTTTTCTCGGGAATATTGTTGGCGTAATAAGTGTACTTGCCGTAGTTACCGCCGTAACATACGAGTTTTTCTTTGTTTCCATTTTTGTTGGTAGGTTAAAATATGTTTAATAAGTTGTACTATGCTACATAGAGTCAGATATATTATGTGACATATGCTTACTATTCGCCTTCCTTACGCAGTCGTGTCATATATTGTCATTGGACGTATGTATATTAATGCTTCAAGGGAATTAAAACGCCTGCAGTCCATAACTCGTTCACCTGTTGTTTCTTGGTTTAGTGAGACAGTGGTGTAAGTTATTCTTAATTTATTTTTAGCATTAAAATAATAATAATAATAATAATAATTCTTAAATTTTGCCTCTTTTGATACTAGGGGTATTACAACAATTCGAGCATTTAACGCTGAACATCGATTTATTAAAACCTTCATTGATCGGTAAATTACATATTGACTTTTTAAGTCATTAATTGCCCATTAACATTGCTTGCTTATATTCAAT